TACTTTGAATGTGGGCAAATTAATTTTGTGCAACTGAAGCAAGTGCAACATGTGATTCGGACCTAGTATAGTGACAGAACTAATGATCTAGTTATGCAACCCCTACTTTACTGATGTTTGAAATTGACATTAAACGAATTGTTTCTGCACTGTTTGCATGAAGTCAAAGGGACAAATACAGATTATATTAAAGTTAGAGATTTAGTGGATATGAAAGTGGTGGTTTTGCACATGGGATATGCAAAATATGGACCTTTATTATCATAAAGTGGCTGTCTGTGTATGTTTCACCCTCTCTCTCTTTCTCACCTTCTCTCTCTCACAGAGAAAAAATATGGTCCTTTTTGCTCGGCAGCCTACACTCCTCGCACCTCTCGTGTATCTGTGGTGTCAGAAAAAAGTTCTCTGCTGCCCTCTACTGCCTCAGGATATTACAAGCTACATACTCAGATGTCACCTCGCTCGTCCTCCAGCTCAATGAAACAACTCTTCTCCTCCGTCACATTTATACCCAACCTGTCCATTCACAAGGGTGCAATCTTGAAATGCCACATCTCGTATAAGGGGAAAGACAAGATTGTGGCTGAGAGAGTGTCCGACAAGTTTACTATTCTAGGTCAGAGGCTATGTTGAGGTCTCTCATGTATTACCTGCAGCTTGTTTTTATGTGAAGCTAATGGGAGAATCTCTTGAAAATATGTCCGGCCCTCATATCACTCCAAGTGTGTATATATTACATTACTGTTATGAGAAAAAAAAAACGTAATGGTCCTAAAATAACCTTCATTTTCATTAAGCAAAACATCATTTATTTTTCTAGCATCTAGATTTTAGAGTGAAACATGACCCAGACATGTTGAGGTGAGGTTTGGTTACCCTGGTTGCACCTGCTGGTTCCTGTTTCTAGATTTTCCTTCTCCTTTAGCATATAAAGCAAGATGCATGTTTCAATCTATTTTCATTTCATCATGTTTACATTATTGTTTTTTGTTTAGCACCACCTGAGGTTTCAGAGATCCAGTTCTCAGAGGCAAATGAGGAAGGAGGTATCACAAACAATGCACACATTAGAATATTGCAAATTATATAAATGCATCATTATAAAATGTTTTCTCTTGTCAGGTGTTGTGACAATGACAGCCCAGGCCTCTCACTTTCATCCGGACATCATCACCTTCCGCTGGTTCTGTGAGGGTGGGGAGCTGAGCCCCGTGTCCTTCCCGCAGGCGCTGGCAGCCCCTCGACCTGATGCTGAAGGCTTCTTTTCGGCCATGAGCCAGTGCAGACTGCCCACAGCAGAGCTAGAGAGAGGAGAAACCAGAGTGTGGGTCGCCGTTCACCACACGGCCCTAAAACAGCCCATCACACGCGAAACTAGAGGTGAGAGCTGGAGTGAAATAACTGAGTTCTTGGAACTGACTTTTGTGTTGAGAGGTGCAAACGACCATAATACACAAACTATCCCAGCAGTATATACTTTGCACAGTATGAGAATTTTGTTGAATAGCTGGATGACCTAATACATTGACTGAAATATAACCTGGAATATAGTATCCTGCAATGCATTGCTCTCAGCTTTGCCTTCCATGTCCAGTGTAGGTAACAGTTTATCAGTTTATATAATGTAAACTATTATTGCACAGCTCTGTATATAAAGTTGGATATACTGTATATACTGTATTATATCCAACTTTATCCGCATACATACAGTACACTTATAACTATATAGCAATATATAGCGATATAAACTTTCCTCGCAAAATGTAACTATATTAAAATCCAGCTCTTTATATATTGTTGGATACATGAGTATGTCCAGTCTCATCCACATACATACAGTACACTTGCATAGGGCCATATATACTACATACTGTAGCAAATCTCAACTGCTTGATTGTAACCCAATCCCACATTTTTGATCAAATAACTGAATTTATTCTTTCCTAGGGTTCATGAAAAAGCCCACCGTTTCAGAGATCATCTCCTCTGCTCTTGCGTCTGCTGAGGAGGGACCTTTGACCCTCGCCTGCGACATAACTGGTTTCTACCCTCTTGAAATCTCTGTCAAATGGCTGCATATAAAAGGGAATTGGACTGAGGAGGGAGAGGACAGAGAAAGGGAAATCAAAGAGGGAGCTGAGCTATGGGGCCCTTTGCAAACTCTGCCCAGGACATTTAGAGCAAAAGCATTACTTAAAGAGCTGGATGAGATGGCAAGGGGAGGTGAGATCGTTTGCAGAGTGACACACTGCTCCCTACTGAAGCCCATTGAGAGAGTCTGGAAAAATACTCATATCGGTAAAGGACACACTCGAAAATAATAGATGGTTTTTTTTTTCATTAATATTTTTTTTCATGTTTTTGAAAAACAAAGTCTCTTATACTCACCAAGGCTGCATTTATTTCTTCAAAAATACAGTAAAAACAGTAATATTGTGAAATATTAATACAGTTTATAATTTTCTTTTTTATATATATTCTTGTGATGCAAAGAAATTTCAGCTTCATTACTCCAGTCTTCAGTGTCACATGATCCTTCAGAAATCATTCTAATTATTCATTCTTTAAAAAATGTGCAACCTAAACCTAGAATATAATATGAAGGATATCATAGAGACATATGGTTTTGGGCTCTTTTGATGCAATCTTTTTCTGTTTTGTTTCTCAGTTGCTCCCTCCATCCCTTGTTCTCTGACGGTTTGCTGGAGCAGAGATGGTGTGGGAATATTCTCCGTTCTTCTCTCTGGAGGAAAACCCACGGCTGAAGTTCTCTGGGCTGCTGGTGGCACGACCGTCTCCAAGCTTTTGTCAAGAGAGAGAGAGAGAGAAAACAGCGAGGGGAAACCAGAGCTCAAGAGCGTTTGTGTTCTGGTGAGATCTACAGGACGACAGGAAAGTGACAGTCGCAGAGGAGGACATGCACGCAGTACGTATGCCAATATGATGGTGAGCAGACTGAATGTTTCTCAACATAACATCAATAAGAAAAGCAACCTTTTGGCTTATTCTACAGGAATCAGGCCGCCTAGTGTGGACTGTAATGCCGAATGTGAAAAGATGAATGAATGTGTGGACAGAATGAAATCCGTACTAGAGGACAAACAGCTGAATGAGCATATGGAGGAGAATGATGAGGATGAGGATGTGGATCCATCCTATATAAACACTGTGAGATTGAGGAAAGAGAAGAAAGAGCATCTGAGAGTTACTGTGGAAATTACCCATCCTGCACTGAGATTCCCTGCGTATCTTACCTGGACAGGTAAATAATGTGTTGTTGAGATACAAGATGTTGTGCATGTGTAAAATTAGTAATTCAATGGATACAGTAAAACCAAATAATAATACTATTCAAAATCCAGTATAAATACTAAATACACTGAGAAACAAATGTGGTGTAGAAACAAACTGATAGTACATTTCGCAAATAAAACGGCAAGTAAATCATTGAATTAAACATTAAATTTGAAAACGGAAAGACTTAAATAGTATTTCCTTGTAAAACATACTCTAATAAACTGTTTTATTAACAACTTTGGGAAAAAAAAACATTTAAAGTGTTTATTTCCCTCTTAAAAATATAATATTGTTGACAAATATGTTTATAATTATGTACACTCACATGAGATTAGACTACAATAAGCAGTGTTGGGGAAAGTTACTTTTAAAAGTAATGCATTACAATATTGCGTTACTCCCTAAAAAAGTAACTAATTACGTTACTTAGTTACTTTTTATGGAAAGTAATGCGTTATATTACTTTTGCGTTACTTTCGCGTTACTTTTTAAATATAAGCAGGGCTTGATTGTTTTTAATATAAGAAGTTCTATTTATAGCAAATGTAAAAGCCCTTTCACACCAAAAAGTGTAATGAATAAACCTCAGGCTGAAGCAAAAGTAAATTCACGTCTGTACAGTAGAACGCAGGAGAAGAAACACTCTTCAGCAATAAAAAAACAAAGCACAATTGTTAGTTTCTCTAAAGTCATTTTTGCTTATTTGCTTAAAGTCAGCAGCAAAGATATTGGTTAATAAAATGGGATTAGATACATTTGTGTTATTTAACATTTAATTATTGCAGGTTTGCGTCATATTCTGAGTAGCATTATTTTTATTCATTTTGAGGAATACTGAATCTGTGTTTTGTTTTGTTTTTGTGAGTGAAAAAGTAATCTGATTACGTAACTCGCATTACTTGTAATGAGTTACCCCCAACACTGACAATAAGTGACCTAGATTAGAAGATGAAGTTTACTTCTCACTTTTGTGTTTTGCAGAGCCTGCAGAGGAAGCCTCATCATGATGACTCGCAGTTATTTAGAAATCTACATCTTCTCTTGACGCCACCTCCACCTCCACCTATGAGCTCATGAAATTTATACTGAAGTTTTGCTGTTGTATTTTTTTTTTCTTAAAAAATAAAATGTTTTCTTTTACTACTAATATGATGCATGAAACACAATATTAGGTGTTCACTTCACTCTGAATGATCTGCCATCAATTTTAATTAAATAAACTCTTTAAAATAAAGCTGTCGTGTGATTTTTTTTTTTCTAAACCGAGTATGTGAGAAAGTCAGAAAGAACGCACCACAGTGACTAATTTTGTCCACGTACTAAGCTGACTTAGATACACGTCAAACCACAACACTTGTGCATATTCAGACATGCACATTAGTTTTATTATTATTGTTGTGCCTACACTTAAAATGCTTTAGTTCTCTATCATAATCAAACAATGTCATTACTATCTAATCTCATAATCAGCTACGCTTTAAAGCTGATATGGTGAAATATCTTGAGGGAAGTTAAAGGTGCTGCACACTCTAGTTGTGCAGAAGTAACTGTTGCAGCAGAAAACTATGGCTGTATTTCAAAACCTAGTGAGATTTCTTTCCAGACAGCAGATTTTCTCGCACTGTGACTGAAAAAAACAAAGCATAAATACGAAAAAATGCCGGTTTCACTCATGATGTCCAAAAATGCTGCAGGTAACTGAGACACTGCACGCGCAACAGTGCTGCACGCGCATGACCGGTGCCACCTTTTTAGATTGTTCACTAGGTTTTGACACACAGCCAGTGTGATTTAGAGAAGTGTACTCCGAAATGATGTGTGGTTGAACATGACAGGCCCAATGACTCGTATGCTTTCCTCACCACAAACCAACTCCCTGCGAGAGTTTGTGCTTGTGCGTTGGCTGGTGTCAATGCTGCTTCACACAGCGCGTCTTCCTCATTAAAACACCGGACATATGAGCACAAGGAACTCGACAAATGCGACCTCCATCACTCAGTAACGATATAACTTCCTGTAAAGGACTCAACTTATAAAAAGTAGACGTGCTTGTAATGGTCTGAATGGGGATGTTGTGAAAAAACCGCCTGGACGTCGCCACCAAAACTTCGAGGGAGCCTCATTAATCTGTCAGCAATTCATCATTTTTTTTATTTAATCTGCTATGGATCCACCTGAAAGCTCGGTGAACCGCATTGGTCGCACTATTTGGACCGTTTGGGTGAGTAAATGCTGCTCTTTTGCAACAGTGACTTTCACTGATTAAGTTGTGATAATGATTAGTCTGTATGTATAATACCAGTCATATTGTACCGCTTGTCTAGTCCTCATATGATCTTTGTCTCTTGATGAGTAGCCTAATGTAAGGCTCACTGACTCCTGTTTCAATGTTTTGCTCGTATAGGGTTATCTGTCAGGGGCTGTTGCAAGATATCTCAGACCGGAAGTCACAGATGAAGGAAACCAAAGTGTTCGTACCAGAACAGAAGATATTGACTTGAAAAGTGCAGTAAACAAGATTAACAAAGAAGTAACGGCAAATAATTTCAACAATGAAGGGAAGAAAACTAATCAAATTGACAGTGCAGAGGTCAAGTGTTCCCCAATTAATGCCAGAGTGCAAGTGGCTTCTGTGCCGTGGGAAAACACTGATGTGGTCAAGGACGACAGTAATGATGAACTTCATGTTCACACCACAAAAAAACAAACTTACCATTGTGCAGTGTGGTCCACTGGGACTGATTCAGACAACGAAGGACGTATGGTTGGCGCATGTGTTGAGAAAGAAGCAGTTTCATCCGATGAGGTTCAGGCTGAAAAAGTATATGCAAACAATGAGTGTAAGGAGAGTGAAACTGCACACAATTTGGAAGAAACTGGAAAGACTGAACAAAAATATGGTGACAATGAAGATAAAGAAGAGCGTGATCAGAATCATGAGGATGAAAAGTGTGCAAAGAAGAGAGAAGATGCATATAAGACAGACGTAATGGTCCAATTTGAGCAAGATGTAGAACAGGAAAAGCAGATAAACATGGCGGACCATGGAGAGACAGAAGGCATTGCAGGTTTTAAAAATGCAGATGAACATCTAATTGAAGAAAAGGAGAACGATTTAGACCAGAAGGATCAGGAGAAAACTGAGAATGATGAAGAACAAGGACTTGAATCACAAGTTCAAGATTTGCAGAAGAGTGAAGATCCAGATAACGCGGACGTAATGGTCCAATGTAAGCTTTATGGACAAGATGTAGAACAAGACAAACTGATAAACATGATGGATCATGGAGAGACGGGAGGCATTGGAGGTTTTAAACATGCAGATGAACATCTTATTGATGACATGGAGGTACAAATTGTTGACCAGAAGGATCAGGGGAAAATTGAGAATGATGAAGACCAAGGAACTGAATCACAAGTGCAAGATTTGCTGCCACAGCTGGAATATTTAAAAAAATATTCTGATGAAATTGCTTACGTCTCTAAAAACGAGGTTGAGGAGATGATGCCTGAAACTAGAGGTGTGACTGAGCAGGATAAGGAGAATGAAACTGTGCAGGACTTGGAAGAAATTGGGCAGCTTAAACGAAACGATGGTGACAATGAAGATAAAGAAGAATGTGATCAGAGTCATGAGGATGAAAAGTGTGCAATGAAGAGTGAAGATCTGGATAACACAGACGTAATGGTCCAATCTGAGCTTTATGGACAAGATGTAGAACAAGACAAACCGATAAACATGATGGATCATGGAGAGACGGGAGGCATTGGAGGTTTTAAACATGCAGATGCACATCTTATTGATGACATGGAGGTACAAATTGTTTACCAGAAGGATCAGGGGAAAATTGAGAAGGATGAAGACCAAGGAACTGAATCACAAGTGCAAGATTTGCTGCCACAGCTGGAATATTTAAAAAAATATTCTGATGAAATTGCTTACGTCTCTAAAAACGAGGTTGAGGAGATGATGCCTGAAACTAGAGGTGTGACTGAGCAGGATAAGGAGAATGAAACTGTACAGGACTTGGAAGAAATTGGGCAGCTTAAACGAAACGATGGTGACAATGAAGATAAAGAAGAATGCAATCAGAATCATGAGGATGAAAAGTGTGCAATGAAGAGTGAAGATCTGGATTACGCAGACGTAATGGTCCAATCTGAGCTTTATGGACAAGATGTAGAACAAGAAATGCAGATAAGCATGATGGACCATGCAGAGAAAGAAGGCACTGGAGGTTTTAAACATTCAAATGAACATCCTATTGATGAAAAGGAGAAACAAATTGTTGACCAGATGGACCAGGAGATGACTGAGAATGATGAAGAACAAGGAACTGAATCACAAGTGCAAGATTTGCTGCCACAGCTGGAATATTTTACAGAGGAAGCCGATGACCTTGCAAAGCCTGAAAGGCTGAAAGTAATGGAAAAATATTCTTATGACATTGATGAATTCTCTAAAAAAGGGGTTGAGGAGGTAATGCATGAAACTGAGCAGGATGAAGACACCACAGAAAGTGAACAAGACACGACTAAATATGAGCTAATGGAGTCAGTAGAAACCCTGCAGAGAGTTTCCGAAGAACTATCTGAAAAAAAAGTACCAAATGTTGAACTGAAAATGACCACAGTAGTGGATGAGTTTTTCGAAACCGTTGATACATTAGAAGACACCCTGCTGTCGGATTCAAAACGGGATACTTCAGAAAATACTCCTGTAACAGGAACTGGGTCACATGTGGTGGCCATGAAAACTGAAGGCATGTTTTCAGATCTAATTGTTTGCGAGTTCCCTGTAGAATTGAGGAAAGGGCCAGAGACTGCATTGGCGGAGACTGATTTGGGATGTTTCGAGGAGATCAAAACTAACCTACATGATCCCCAAACTCTTGCAGAAGAGCAAGCAGAAAGGGAAGCTGTGATCACATGCTCTGTTGAGCACTCTGAGACCCTGAAAGCAGTTGATGAAGCAGTTGAGACTGAACAAGACATTGAAACTTTAATCGAATCCTTGGGTACAACAGAAAGTCAGGCACATCAGGAAATAGACAAAACCGAGTTCTCACTCAAAGAACATGTTGATTTAAGAACTGAACTGATGGAAGAAACAACTGAAACAAAGATCAGTTCAGAAGATGAGGAAGCAGAACCCTCCGAGAAAGAAAGTCAATCATCAGTCATCAGAAATGTCACTTTACAGTCACATGAGCTTCTTGAGTTCACAGAAGGAGAATGCAAATCATCTCTAGGAACAATGGACACTTTCAATGAATCACTAGGAAATTCAAGTATGTCTGAAATCGAGATTAAACATGTTGCAGAGGAGCAAACAGATGTGAAACCTGTATTAACAAGGTCTTTGAGTCCAGCAGAGTTTCTGGAGGAAACTCTACATCTGCAGGGTGAATCAGAGCAATGCGCTGAAGAGCAGGAGATCCTGGAGACAGATGTGGTGAAGACTGCTTTAGAGTATGTAGAAGGAATAACAAATCAAGTCTTGAAGGAAATGATAGAAACAGAAATTAACTTCGTACAAGAAACAGAACCTTTGGCAGGACCTTCAACAGAAGAACCTGGTGATGCAAAATATCAAGGACCTGCACAATGTGTGTCAGCTGATGCTTTTGTCCTGGAAGAAGAAGGGAAGTTATTGGGTGAGACAATGGACAGTAAGGTAGAAATGGAGGTGGAAACCACAAGTAGTGAAGTTCTTAAACAAACCGAGCAACATATTAGTTCACCAGAGTGTGAAACTACTGAAGCTGATGGACGTCGTGATCAGATACAGAAGGTCATTGCTGGAGAAACAGTGTTGAGTAGTCATGAAGACTTAATGGAAGTCAGCAGACCTGGGATGAAAAGAGGATTTGATTCAGTGAGCAAAGACCTTCCAGAGGTGAAGACAGAAGGCAAATTTTATTTGTATCTACAGGTAATATAGAATATTTTGTTGAGTAAAAGCTCCACGAATATAGAAATTAAATGTCATCCTACTAAGTTAAAAGGGTTAGTTCACCCAAAAATGAAAATTCAAACCCGTAAGACCTTCGTTCATCTTTGGAACACAATTTAAGATATTTTTGATGAAATCTGAGGGCTCTCTGACCCTCCCATAGACAGCAAGGTAACTACCACGTTCAAGGTCCAGAAAAGTACCAAGATGATTGACCAGAATTTTCATTTTTGGGTGAACTAACCCTTTAAACTTGACTATTTATCTTTAGGCATTTGAGGAATCATCTTTGGACTTTACCGTTCAGAAGTCTCGAATTGCTGTGAAGAATCCCCTAGTTCGGCCTCCCAAAGACCCCAGAAGGCTCCTCTTCAAGGCCTCGGTCGAACCTTTTGTCCCACAGCCTTCACCATGTAGTCAGAAGGTTGAAGTCTCTGTTTCAAATAAAGGGGTGACTGGATTTAAACTTCCAGGTATTTACCAAAATAAAATCTTAATGAAAAGTACATTAACATTTTATTAGTACTTTAAATCGGTTCATTATTTGTTTTTTCCTTCGTCATTTTTCAGGACTGGGTGCAGAGCTGCCAGTATTGAGAAAAACTGAGTTTGGGAAGAAAGCAAGAGAAGGAGGAGCAGCAGAGAGAACACTACAACCACAGGTACACAACAGATATGAACACACAAACAGTTTGAGTCTAAAAAATGATGGTACTGCGTAATCTAAGCACAATATTACACTCAATAAATATTTTTAATCCTAAATTTAAGATTTGTGTATTTTAATTGCTTATAAAATTTTCATCCGTTTGGATTACACAGTTTTAACGTAAACAAACTAATAAAAATTACAACTAAAAACTTTTTTTATTTGATTTAAATAATTACATTTTCAAATTGCAGCTCTTCAAATTGCTTAGAATCAACATAAATCTGTTAATTGCAAAAATAAATGTTGTTAGCTGTGGAACAAGCAATATTCAAGTTAAAGTTAATTAAAGTTAAAATGAATGAGATTGAAAGAAATTGGATGTATTGATAAATATATAAACCTGCTTGTTGTGTATTTTAAACACATTCTGCTTATTAGTACTGTGACAAAAATCTTAACTGGTCCTTTCCTGTTTTGATTTATGTATGCATGACAAATATGCATCACATTTAATTTTTTTTACAATTTCAACAAACTAATACTGTAATACAAACAGCTGGAAATTTTATTTAAAACATTTTTTTAAGTATATGTCAGTTATTTTATGTGTAGATGTGTAGTAATACAACTGTTTTTCACAGCAAAAGTCAGTTGCAGTAACAGAGGATTCTGTCAAACAAGAGCAAGTGCCAGCTAAACCCAAATGGACACCGCCAAGGCATCCTGGGTAAGGCCTGTTATATCAGTCTGAATTATTAATTTCATTTGATGTTGTTTCACAAATAGCTAACTTCTTTCCTTATTTTGTTTGTGCAGTATGGGGAGTCCCTTCATGATGGCAGAACTCAAAAGCAAACTCAAAAAGCCTGTTCAGGAGTAATAATATATTTTCAGATGCATTCTTCACCCGTTTTTATTTGTCTTATTCAAGCACTATGCAGCCTGGTAAATATTATGGAAAGTTATTCTACTGTTATTCTAACTCTAATTTCATTTTACTTCCACTATTTAGTTTGCTTCTATCTAAGAATCTAAACTGCGCAGACATTTCTCATGCATTTTTCTTAAGAGTTTAACTGAGTATGTATTTATATTTGAAGGGGGAAAAAAAGTATGAGTGAAATGATTACATACTAAATATCAATAAACATTTTTGCACTTTTTTGCAGCACTTAAACTTTGACTGTAGTTCAAACTGTCGTAGCCAGTGTTTATCACTAGGGGGCAGCAGAGAGTCACTGCTGGACATGTATGTCGTTTCGCCACTAGAGGGCAGAACAGAGTCGCTGGCTCTCGTATCACATTTAAAACTATTTTATTGCTATTTGTTATTGTTATATTGTATATTTCTTTTTCTTGTCATTACTTTCTATGTGTATAATTGTTTGGCAATATTGTATGTAAACAATCATGGCAATAAAGTACTTTGAATTGAATATATCACTTCGCCACTAGGGGGCAAAACAGAGTCGCTGGTTGTCATATGTTTATACGCCTCTAGAGGGCAGTCGTAAGCCGCTCACTGTTACATATCACTCCGCCACTAGAGGGCAGAAGACGGTCGTTGGCTGTAATATGTCAATACGCCACTAGGGGCAGCAGAGAGCCGCTGGCGGTTACATATGTCTGGCTTTCCAAAAGGGAGGCGCTTGACGCCGGTAGAGGGTGGTGGGAGAAAAAGACCGACGAACCGGGTGGAAGCCCTAAAAAGCGAACTGACGTTATACTCCTGAAATTGCTTTATTTTTTACAAGTCTATGTGGAGTGACTAAAGGTACGTTTCACCCGTATATTTCTTGAACTCTGTTGTGGTTTAAGCGGTGAAGAAGCGTAAACTAGCCGTGTATTTGTCTAAGGCAGATGGGCTCGTTTTTCCGGCCTGTAGCTCTCAGGCTAGCTAGCGCTAGCGCTGCTAATTCAGGATTGATTCGTCTGTGGCTGGAAATTGAGGTCGAGTTTGACATCAGGACTCTTGACATCGTGGGGATTGATAATTGTCGGTGGTGTGTTTGTTAGTGTTGTTCGTCTAGAAGTTATTTAATTCATCAGTAAGTTTTCAGGAAAGTTGTGGCAGTCTAATTCACCGTCACGTTGGGTAAGCGAACTGAGCGAAGTACGTTAGTTTTTACGTTTAACGTACGTTAGTTCCTTGTGAAACAATAAATTTGACCGCGTATTGAAATAGAAAGACTTTTCAAATCATGTTTTAGCTTTTATTGTAACACGAGTTGGCGGCACAAGATTTAACTGTCATCCTAATTAGATTTAAATCTAAGTTATTTTACCAGAGTTAGACTTAGATTCGTTTTAAACGTTTGACGCTGTATTAAATTCGCTGTTCGAGTTGTTTAACTTTATTAACTAACGTTACTGCAGTCTGCAGGTTTCCTCATCCACTCGTTTTTAGGCTATTGTGCTTCATTTGCATACATACTATGACGTTGTTAATCAGAAGTCATAAATATTCATATTTTACTTCATTCTCATTAAACATTTGTGACTGGTTTCAGAAAGCCGTTGTATTTAAAGAAAACGATTAACCATTAAAATTACTGTGTAAAACATGTACACACAACCTGTTTTTTTATTATTTTAATTATTATTTATTATTAATGCCGTAACCAAGAACAATACGATAAGAATCATCCATTGCAAAACAGAAAAAAACAACATTGACAAAACAAAAATACTATAAACCAGTGCCAGAGTATACAACAATAACAAAAATACAAGGAAATAATATTCCAAGGAAAAATAAAATGTTACGCTACAATGTCATATTTACATACAATGTTATATGCTCTAATTGCCTTTTTACTTGTGCAGTTTTGTAAAACATTACAGTAAAGCTTGAATTAAAGTGAGAAAAATTTGGTTTGGAGTCTGAACATTTCATTTTATGAATATGAAACTTTCCCATGTATATTAATAACTGTACAAGATACACTCTAAAAAATGCTGGGTTAAATACAACCCAGTGCTGGGTAAAATAGGGACAAACCCAGCAATTG